ACTTGCTCAGGGTTGATTTGGAAATCTCCTAAACAGTATCTTATTTCTTTCTCCTCTTTAAAATGCACAAATCTTAGTTTGGTATTTTCACCCTTAGACTATATTCAAGTCATTTTTTTACATATATTATTGCAATGAAGAGACAATCGTCTTAAAGCGCTAGATTAACAAACTGATTTTTTTTGTAAAAAAAAAAAAAATAATAGTCATCCACTTTGCTTGATACATTGGTTCAACTTTAATTTTTTTCTCATTATTTCTTCGTGAGAAAATAATAAATAATTATTGATAATTGTCCAGTACAAATGTTTTTTGCAATTCTTGATTAAAAAATGTCTTCACTTCTTCTTTTGTTGTATTACAAAAATTTCGTGTGACAATATTATGTATGTTTCAATAGCAACAGGGTTAATAGCTTTCGAGTTGTCTCTAAACTTTTTGAATATTGAGGCATTAAGGCTACTTGTGGCTTTATGGATTTTTGTTTCCTACACATTTTAAAACCAGTTTGTAAACGTGAAGTAAAGATAGCAAGCAAATAGTGGTAATTTCCTGGCTATTTGTTTTAAAAGTGCACATGTTCCTTTCAATTGTCCTGTATTAGACGCATTGTTTGTACTTTGTCATCCAGGCTACCGTTATGGTATACATTTAACACAGCTTTAGCTTAAAGCTGGCCCTGTACCCAAACTGGATCTTGAAGAGCTCTCTAGTTTGGGTAAAAAATTGCTCTTTTTCTCCTAATGATATTAAATTTGGCATTAGATTTGACAGGCGTTATTTTTTAGAACTTTTCACGTCCAGTTCAGGTTATAATTTCCCACTCTAGTAAACGGTCGCAAAAATAATTGAAAATAAATGGGAAACATAGCGAGTATACGCAGCTACTTCCACACAACTTGTATGAACATTATTCAATGCAAGTCAGAACTGGTTATGGAACTCCAAATAATGTAAAAAAAAAAAATATGACGAAGTATTTTAGATGTAAAAGAACAAAACTAATATTAGGTAGTTTGAAAAAAAAAAAAAAAAATGGTGCATCTTAATGACCATCAACTTTGATCTGTGCTAAATGACATTGCTTTTTGGTCTGTTGAATTAATTATCACTAAATGAATATATCTTGTTGAACAATAATATAGAAAATGTGTATGCATTAATATATTTGTATGTTTATACTACTTTTATTTTAAATAAGTAGACATATACTATAGTTTCACGTTCTTTTAAAGACATTTTTAGCATTTTGAAAAATTTATAGGTATTTTAAAACGGATTATGCATATTTTTGCTTTTATATAAACACAGACTATTTTAGCGGGACTCAGTGATAAGACAATTTATGTCTTCATCTTACTCCAGCCTAAGTTTAATATATTGTATGTATTTATTGTAAATTTATCAAACGGACAACTCTGGAACAGGTAAATTATCAAACGGCAAAAAAAAAGGAAGATTATTAGCATAATTTTAAGCAAAAAATTTAAGAAAAAATAATAGATTTTTTTTTTTTTTTTCTGTATGATATTTTGAAAGATTTTTAGAATTTTATAAAATGAAATGAAATTGAAATTTAGGTTAAGTTAAATGGAAATTTCACAATTTTTATTATTTCTGCGTGGAAGGATTAAATGCAATGGCTCCAACTTAAATGTAGTTAACATTTGAACTACATAACACTTATCCGAACAAAATTATCAATGTTATGTTACATAAATCAGTTAAGTTACTCTCATTCCAACACTTAAATATTCTTTCTTAATACTCATTCAATTCAAATATTCTTTCTCGACATTCATTCTAATTAACTAGATATTGCGAAATTGCACATATCTTAGAGTAAAAACGTCATGTCCAGTTTTTGAAAGCAAGATTCAGAGTCTCAAAGGGTCTTTGGGACCCAAAGCTTTTTTTCTGCTTTGGGTCCAAAAGCAGAAAAGAAGCTGTAAAATTTAATTGTTTTTAATTTAGGATCAAGAGGCAATTTTGATTTAGGATAAAGAGTCTCGACATCAAAAACAAGGAACAAGAATGCAAGCACACTGTTTGAGCTGGAGAACTTAAAAGAATTTATAATGGCATGTGGTGAAACTGTTTTTGCTGCTATTATCAAAGAGGTCCACACAGCCATTTAATTTTCCATTATTGTTGATGGAACTTCGGACGAGTTTCATACGAAACAAATCACTTTTGTTCTTCGATTTGTCCGCTTAGGATCTGACAACCAATGGATAGTAACCAATGGATAGTAACCAATGGATAGTAACCAATGGATAATAACCAATGGATAGTAACCAATGGATAGTAACCTATGGATAGCGTTTTCTGACAACCAATATATAGTAATCAATGGATAGTAACCAATGGATAGTAACCAATGGATAGTAACCAATGGGTAGTAACCAATGGATAGTAACCAATGGATAGTAAAAGTTTTCTGAAGATAAAAAATCTGGAGAAAAAAAGGGTTTTGACATTGCGAAGCTGATTACAGACATTTAGGATCAAAACCAAATTGATTTAGAAAACTGTAAGGGCCAGGACTATGATAGCGGGGCTAATATGTCCGGTGTATGCAAAGGAGTGCAAGCCATCATTCTCGAAAAAAATCCTCAAGCTTTTTTCATGTTTTGCAGTGCGCATAGTCTCAATCTAGCTGGTGTTTATTCTGCAGAATCCTCTAGTGTAGTCAAGAACTATTTTGGCAACATCCAATCGTTATATAACTTTTTTAGAATTATGCGTTGTAAAATTTTGACTGAGGCAACTGGGCAGTCTCTTCGCTAAAAGTCCCAAATAAGATGGAGTGCGCGCATAGAGACTGTCCGGCCATTGTCAAAATGACCAAAAGAAATACTGAAGTCCTGTAAACTTTTTGAAGAATGTGATTTAGAAGATCATCAATTGACTTTAGTTAAGGTACTCAAAAAGCGGATTCAATCATTTGAATTCATTGTCTTGATTTTTTTCTGGTTCAAGGCTCTCCTATGTGCAGGGTTGCCACTATAATTTTTAAAAATTTTTCCTGTTTATTCCCTGAGTAAAGAACGTTTTTCCCTGAGTTGAACTCTTTAAATTCCCTGAGCTTTCCCTGACTTTTCTGTATTCTTTCATGTTTATCAACGAAACATTATTATTTTCCTTAATTAAACACAATCTTTATATTTGACAAATTAAAACTTTTACACCCACAACTAGCAAACTTATTATTATATGTATTAGCAAAATTTTTTTGAAAAAAAAATTATTGTACAAAATTTCAAAAAAAAATAAATATTATTTCTGAGTTTTCACAGAATTTTATGAAAATTTTAAGAAATCCCTGAGTTTTCCAGGTTTTCCCTAGGATTCATGCTATTTTCAGGTATTCCAGGTTGAGTGGCAACCCTGTATGTGTCAACAATGTCTTTAATCAGACAACATTTTTTTGTGATGACGAAACAAAGTTTTTAAAGACTCTAATCCATGATCTTGATGTTCTTATAAAAAGTAGTCGATTACCCGTACGCTTTTGGTAACGCCCAACTCTATTGGAACAAGGTTATCACCATAAGGTTTTTGTGTAATAACTGTGCTAAATGAGGTAGTGTCTCCATCGCCAAGATATTTGAAATAGCGAATGTTATATTTATTTACTGAAGAGCAAAATATTTCTGTTGCACCAGCTGATTCCATGGCACCTGCTGATTTAGTGTGGTTTACTTGGCAGGAATGATTAACTCTCCACTGCTCATATTTAAGTGTCCCTTTTTTTTCCTTCCCAAATTTCACAACCTTTACAAAACTTAGATAATATAACATTATCAAATACCTTGTTGCTGTTGTGAAACTTAAGTAGAATATCCTCTCCGCTGCCAGGTACCATCGATAGAAACACCACAATCAATAACATCATTCATATTAGAGTTGAGTTTCAGTCCATTAAAATTTATCTTTAAAAGCACAACCACTGCAAGAAAAAATAAAGAAAACCCCAAACGTCTTGAATGATCATGCAACACGTAAAGCTTTGTACCACATATATTACAAGTAGCATACTTTTCAAAGCAACTTTTTATTTGTTTAAAATGCATAAAATATATTACTTCGTTATTATCAAATAACGTTTTTTCAAGATTATTTTTCAGCTTATTATTACTTGCAGAACACGTTCCTGTGTTTATTAGTGTTGTTGGAATTATTATGGTGATTGCAATAAAACTTTCTTTTCCTTGGTCTTATTATTCCTTTTTTTTTTGTTTACAACTATTATAAAAACTATATCATACTGATTAAATGTTAAAAATGTTAATAAAGCAAATAATGAAAATACTATACCTTATTACTATGAATTTTATAAAATAGTTATTTAAACGCTTTATTTTGACAAGCACAGCTTTAAAAAAATCTCTTTTCTGTCGGAGATATTTAAGAAAAGCTTATTATTTTGTATAAGCAGGATCTAAAACTTGAAGAAAAATCAAGTAATGAGATTTTTGGAACGATAAAAACTTATTTGAAGATTTGTTTTGAGAAAAAGAAAAGATGTTATAGGTCACTTTTTTTTGAAACTTAGATTCGAGCCAGTTCATTTTATGGTCAATAATGGTTTATAAAGGATAGAATAAAAATATATATATTTTTTTTAGATTTTGTTCAAATATTGTTTGTGCAATTATTTCACAAATATTTGGTTGATTTACATTTTATTTGGCTAATCGAGCCACAGAATATCAAGTTTGAAAACATTAAAAAATATTTTTTTAATATTTCTTGGGGTACCACTAATAAAAGCAACTCAATTCCGTTCTGAGATTTACAGCCCTACTTTAATATTTAACGTCATGCATACTTAACTTTTTTTATCTGCCATCTTATCTCGTATCTTATCATGATTCACCTTTTCAATTTTAAGTCATATATAGCAATATTGGATTACTCCCTTTTTCCTTTTTCATTGCCCTAACGTTATCACAAAATAATTTGACTTTTGGCTTAATTAGCAAAAATAAAGTCAATTTAACATTTAACTAGTCGAAATAGTTTTGATTTATTTAATATATTTTTTAAATATTTTTATTGGAAACACACCAATCGTATGCATTATAAAACATTCGCAGCCAAGGCGATTTATTGAAACCATACCACTGTTGAAGTGCCCATGGCCATTGCCACATGACCGTACATCTTTCTGGATGAGGCATCATTGCTAAATGTCGTCCATCGCTAGAACAAATTGCCGCAATACCATTCGGTGAACCATTTGGATTGTACGGATATTTAGTTGTAGCAAATCCATCGTCATCAGCGTATAGTATCGGAATATTATTTTTATTGTTATTTTGAAAAACATCATCGTTAAGGCAATTTAATTTTCCTTCGCCATGAGACACCCAAATACCGAGTAGTGAACCCTCCATACCGGCTAACATCAAAGATGAACTTTTAACAATTTTAACGTTAACAAATCGAGATTCAAACCGTCCGGAAGAATTAGTAGTGAAACAAACACCTTGTTCTGGAAAAGCATTTTCATCGGTATTAATTTTACCAACCCATCCAAGCAAAGCCATAAGTTGACAACCATTACAAACACCTAAGCTAAACGTGTCTGATCGTTTTCGAAACACTTCTAATTCATGCTTTGCACGATCATTAAACTTTAATATTGACGCCCATCCTTTTGCTGACCCAAACACATCTGCATAACTAAACCCTCCCACAAATACAATTCCTTTAAAAATATCTAATGTTATTTTTCCATCGCACAATTCTTGCATGGTAACATCATAAACATTGAATCCAGCCATATGAAACGCAGATGCCATTTCACGATCGCCATTACTACCTTCTTCTCGTAAAACTGCAACATTGGGTTTTTTTTGCTCATTAATTGTTAAACGATACTCGTCAGGATTAAATGAAAGAGTGTAACAAGGTGTGTGGCGTAACTTTAAAGTTCTTTCTTCCTCTTCTACGCAAAACGGATTGGATTGTAAGCGCTCTAACTGAAAGCTTGTAGCTTCCCATATATCTCGAAGGTTTTTCATGTCGTGATTCAACACCTCATTACCTGATAGCGAAATAACAACATTTTTGCAACTTGTGATATGACCGATTTTAACACATTCAATGTTTACTGATTTATAAAAATGAATCACATCACTGGTATGATTGCTCTGAACTTCAAGTAAAAGAGAAGGTTCTTCCGCAAACAAAATGTCTAATAATTTATCGTTGCTTGTTATGATGCTTTCTAACTCAACATTAAATGATAAGTCGCCAGCAAATGCCATTTCTAATAACGACGTTATCAAACCACCATCAGATATGTCATGACCTGATACAATTAAACTTTGACCAATTAACGCTTGTGTGGCTATAAATGCTTGTGAAAACATCTACAAGAAAAGTAAACAAATTAAAACCATAAAATTTAAAATTACTATTAAAGTAAGCATATTTTCCGCTATTTTCACCATTATAAATAAGTATGTAAAACATATACCCGACCTGAAAATCGCTAATATCTGGCGAATCATTTCCAATTTGTCTAAACACCTGAGCCAATGCACTTCCACCGACTCTCCATTTTGAAATTTCATTCATTTTAAGGAAAAGAATTTCATTTCCAGAAACTTTAAAATCAGGAGTGACTTTTTTACGAACGTCAGGACAAGGTGCGTATAATGATACTACAAGAGAGCCAGGAGCTTTTACAACTTTACTCTCCACTCTAGCTGCCATACTTAACGAATCTTTTCCGCCATCAACAGCTACTCCCAATGAAGACAGCATATCACACATTGCTTCACAAGCTTCGTATATTCTCGATCCTTCCCCTGGTAGTTTTGCCGGCCACATCCAATTAGCGCTACATTTAATATCCTTAAATAAAAACCAAGTTATTTAACTACAAATTTACACATAATAATGAATTTACATGTTATAAAATTTTATATAATAAAAAAATATTAAATTTTAAAAAGTAAAAATGTTTGTATATTTTAAAGCTGCAACCTTTATATCTGAAATCTTTGCAAATACTAGATTAGTGAATGCTTCAGCAACAGTTAGACGTGCACCTTTCTTAGGATCAATAAACATCTTCACCGGTTGTTCACCAATAGAAGTAGCTGAACCAGCAACATCAAAGTGAGACAAAGCTATTATTGCTACATCTGCTAAAGGCGTGTGAAGAGGTCCAACGCACTGCTGCTGAGCAATAAGCCCTGTTACGGATCTATCAACCTACAAAAAAATTGTTAATTAAATTATTAAGCTTAATTATTAATGGTAATTACAAATAGTTACTAATGTAATAATTAAGTTAATGGCTATGATCATTATGTTAAAAAAGGGCGTGTTCAAGTGAAACAAGAGTTGAAAAGGGTTTTTTAATAATTTTTTTTTTTCAATTTTGTTAAATTTTGCTTTTAAGTGTTTTTAAATAAAAATTATACTGATAGTAGGATTAAGGCAATAATTAAGGCATAGTAGAATTAAGTAGTAGGATTAGTAGGATTAAGATAGTAGGATTAGTAGGATTAAGATAGTAGGATAGTAGGATTAAGATAGTAGGATTAAGGCAATAATTAAGGCATACTGATAGTAGGATTAAGGCAAATAAGTAGAGCTAGGAATAGAGTTAGCCCTTTAAATATGAAGATAGGTAATGCTAAATTCAATCAAACGAAAAACCAATTTTAAATAGGACTCGACAGAGAGACCGCAATAAAAAATAATAAAATATAAAAAAGTCATAACATAACAAAAGAACAAAAATTATAGAAACAAAATTAATGATTTTTAAAAAGCTGAATCCTATTATAAACTTATTATATTATTAATTATAGTTGTAATATACCCGTAAGTTATAAATATCTACAATATGCTGTTTTTGTATCTATAATGGTTGTTTTTAATGAACAAAAGTTGCAAAAGCATATATATATATATATATATATATATATATATATATATATATATATATATATATATATATATATATATATATATAATATATATATATATATATATATACAATAATAGCTGCAAAAAAGTAAAACAAACTCTTATTCATTTTTTTGCTCAATATGAAAAATTTATATCAGAAAAAGCCAAGACAAATCCGAAACTAATATATCAACACATAAATGTGAAACTTAAAGTTAAAAATCAATTAAGATCTATGAAAGAGTCAAATGGAAGCATTACAACCGATCAAAGCCATATAGCTACAATCCTTAACAAATTCTTTTCATCTGTTTTTACTCCTTTAAGTCAATTACTGCCTCCTTTAAAGAAACGCACATTTTCTGTGATTGATGAGACTTCGGTCTTGAATAGATTTAATAACAACTACATACAATCAATAGTCTCAAAATTTAACATGCATAAGCCTGCAGGCGTAGACGGTATTCACCCATATGTTCTCAACAAATGTTCTTCATCTCTGAATGTGCCAATTACTTATATATTTACAAAATCAATTTCTGAAGGTCAATGTCCCAACCGCGTAGCTGGAAGCTAACATTACACCGCTTCACAAAAAAGGATCCAAACTTGATGCATCAAACTACAGACCCATTTCTTTAACTTCTGTCTGCTGCAAAATCCTAGAGCGTATTGTAAAAGATTGTTTAACTGAGTATCTATGTGCTAATAATCTTTTATCTCAAAATCAGCACGGGTTTGTGCCAAATAAGTCATGCATTATAAATTTATCGGAAACTGTCGATCAGATCTCGTACTCAATGGCAAGAGGCTATAGTCTAGATGCTTTATATTTAGATTATGAAAAAGCATTTGATACACCTCCACATAATCTTAAGCTTGACAAACTTTCTGGATATGGTATCTCTTATATGTTTCTTAGTTGGATAAATTTTTTCTTTTTTAACAGAACGCAACGAGATGTCATGGGTTCCGCTACTTCAGATTGGTTACCAGTCACCAGTGATGTCCCACAAGAGTCTGTTCTAGGACCTCTTTTATTTATCTTATACATCAATGACATTACAGACCTATTTTTTTCAGATGTCCAAAGAGATTTTAAGATATACTATAAAAATTTTTTTTCATAATTTCAAAATAAATTACCTAGTAAAATTTTTAGTCACGAACAGATTAAACAAAAATATTAAATAAAAAATAAAATACAGACTTGAAGAATGTTGCGTAATTTAAATTAGTATTATTTTCTATGCCTAAAAACATTTTTTTGTGCAAATAAACTTTTACTACAACTGTATATAGTTTATAATTTATAGTTTCAAATATTAATTATAATGAAACACAACCACATAAAACAAAAAAAACATTATACTCTGATTTTCTTAAGTTTGTAAAGTTGCCTGTTAATAAACATGCAATGTTTACTTTTAAAATTATATTTAACCTTTTCTTGATATTATATTTATTATTTTCCTATTATTGTATTTGTTTCAATTTGTTTTATTATTATATTAAACTGTATTTAATATTGTTAATGATTTTGATTTAGGTTGTTGCACAGTATAAAAAAGTGAATATCAATTTTCAAATTCAGCCTAATCACTATATAATTCAGAGAATCGAAAAAGAATGGAAACGAGTTACTCAAACTGTTTGGTGAAGAGTACAAAATCAACCCTCAGAATTAGGAAAAATGAGGTCGGCAATAAATTGCCGACCTTAAACTGTCGGCAAAAAAAAAATTCATACAAAGGGGTAACCATAAAACATAGAAACGAGGTCGGCAATTTTTTGCCGACCTCAAACACTTCTAGGTCATCAGTTAGGTTGGCATTGCCGAATGCCGACCCTAATTCCGAGGGTTGCAAAATTCTATAAAAGATAAATTACATAATGAATTGACATGTTATTTAATATTCTTTGCTGCAAACACATTATATGCAAGGAAGATCTAACTTGCTCTAACTCATAATGTTCTCATTGTGCTATTTCTCCAATCTGCAATTGTCCTGCAAGCTTAAAAATTCCTGAAATAGAGCTAAAGTTTATCAGAGCTAAAAGAATAAAAGTTGGAATGAAAAGTACCTTATACATTATAGAGAAAAAAAAGAACATACTCGTCTAACTAAAAAATACAAAAGAAAAGAAAAAATAGTTGAGAGTGCTCATCTAAAGATAGAGTTTAAAAAATTTTATGAGGAGCAGAATAAGAAAGCAGAGTTAAGTATTAACCAGTTTTTGAATGAAGAAATGGATGTAGATTCTACAGCTACTAACACCGGTAGGTTAGGTGGGGCTTTAAAAAGAATAGAGATCTTCTTAATAAAAAGTTAACTTGGATTATATGAATGCTGCATACAAATGAGCTTCCTCTTAGACATCTTATTCAAAATCTTGATGGAAAAATAACTTCCAATAATGGATTTAGTGGAGTTGTGGGTAAATTATTAAGCTGTGCTACATTACTTCCAGTTCCAGTTTACTTAATTCAATTGGTAAAATTGAACAATTGAATTAAGTAAAGATATGATTTATGATCTTTAAACTTATCAGCAACTTATGGATATAAAATGATTTTAGCTATAAGTTCAGGTAACCTACCTAAAGATCTTAAGAAAATGGAGTGTGGTCCTGTTAATCACAGTAGATGGTTGACCACTGCAAATATACTATTACGATTCTGGGTCTAAGTTCATGGAGTGTCTAGGCAAAACTTTAATAATTGAAGCTGCACAGTTGAGTATGTTGTTAAGATTTTTTATCCAATGTGGTTTGATATTAAAGTAAAGTATTTTATAGAAAGTCCAAGACATGTTTTAGTAACCTTAAGGTTAGTAAAAATGCAGAACCAAATTACTAGGGGTATTGTTGAAAAATATATCATATCAGAAGCTTGGTTTTCTCACAGCGAAGCTGTTCTAACAACATTGCTTTGTAGTTCTATAGATTCTGACAAAGGAGAAATATCTGTTCAAGAAAGAAATCATACTTCTTTAAATATTAGTGCTATGAATCTCACAGAGCTACGTTTTTTGACTCATAATGTGTTTGAGCCAATTCAAACATGGTACTTTACTATTGAGACTATTGTTGATTTTAAAAATAATCCCATGATACCTGATTCCATACCATGCGACACACAAAGTATTGAACGGGCGGTGTTACAGACAACAAGAGCTTATGCTTCTGTTTATGGACATGATTCTAGAGATGGGTTTTATCTGAGCAATGTTGCCATCACCAAAAACTTTTACTTAATAACAATACAAAAAAGCACTTATAACAGTTTTATTCTGGTTTTTTAATTTTTATATTTTGAATGTGACTACTAAATGGGATCATCCATAGAGAGATTTTCGTAAAAACAACCTTTTTTATCCTTCTTATCTAGACATTTCTTTTTAATAGCAACACCTTCCTTTCACCCTATCAAATCCAACAGAAAACTTAAAACTATTGCATAAGAATTTACATGGAAATCTTTCCCTTTCTCTAGAAGGTTATACCTTTTATGGATGACCCTAAATAACAATGCATATGATCTAATGTATTTATGCTTTACTAATTGATATAAATCAATTTGTTATTTGTAATTTTTATTATTTGAATATATGAGTAGAGTTAAAGGTCACTAATATAAAAAAAAAACATTTGTATTCACTATGGCCAGGCTAAAATTATTTTAAAATGGAAAAAAAAAATTATTTGGTTTTGCAGTACTATTTTTCATTAATAGTTTCAGTTTTAAAGGTTTTAAAGGCAAAACATTCAAAGTTTAACAATCAAATTTTGATATTTTATACACTTGTCAAACGAGGATAGTTTTAAAAAAACCCATCATTATTCTCAATATTTATTGTTAATCTCAAAATCTACGATAAGTTTCCCCTCTGGCCACTGCCACACCTCCTTTAAAAACTCAAAAACCCTAGTCAAATTTGATTTTTTTTTTTTACTTAATATTTTAAAATAGATTAATGTCCAATAACACATTTTGAACTTTAACAAAAACATGTTGTGTTGAAATTTCATGATATTTTATTGTTAATAATTCCCCCTTTCACACCATTTTGGTAATTTATTTTGAAGTTATGAAAAAAATTTTTTAACAGTATATCTTAAAATCTCTTTGGACATCTGAAAAAAATATTTAAATTTTCAGTTTCAAAAAAAAAAAATTCACTACAATTATACAATTTCTTCTACAATTTTCAAACTAGTTTTAAAAAACAGGTTTTTCAAGTAATTTGACACATTTAAAAAACGGTTTTTAAATTACAAAAACCAGTTTTATA